GATGGGAAAGGCAAGGGCCTGGTGAATGGTAGGAGTAGCAGTGAGCCCTGGCTGTGAAGGAGGAGCGGAGACACACAGAAGAAGGAGGGGAGAGAGACTTGTATGGATTTTATTCGCCTCTCTACACATGCCACAGAAGCACAGGCCCAGAGCCTCAGCTATGTAAAATCAGGGAAGCCAACGGTGACCACCCCGCAAGGAGCTGGCCTGGAATCTGAAGAAGTGGGTGGTGTGGGGAGCGGATCCTGTGACAGGAGTGGGGCAGTTGGCCAGAAAGCCCTGACTGGGAATCTTTAAAAGTTGGGGTCTCTGGGTGGGGTTTGCCGGGCGGGAAGCAGCCCTTCCCCAAACCCCTTTCATTCCAGCGGACTGGGCTGGTCCCCGCTCATGTTGTGTGAAGGTGGAGGGGGGCAGGAGGCTGAGCTGGAGAGCAGGGTGATTCTCACAAAGTGTGGTTGCAGGATCTTGGCACCACTTTCCACCAGGCTGCCTGCTCGGCCACAGATCGCTGGGAGCGGGTGGGCTAGGCCTGCTCCCACGCCTCGCCAAGCTGTGCCTTGCCCAGGCCTGCATGGGGCTCTCTGCTTACCCCTCACCTCTCCTCTCCTGGCAGGTTTTACAAGGGCACTGTGCCTCGCCTGGGCCGGGTCTGTCTGGATGTGGCCATCGTCTTTGTCATCTACGACGAAGTGGTCAAGGTCCTCAACAAGGTGTGGAAAACCGACTGAGCCGGGCAGCAGCACCGTCTCCTCCACCACCGCGAGGCAACAGCTGGAGAAAGATGACCAACCCGGGAGGAATCATATGGACATTTCACCAGGAGCGGTGCCAAGGTTCAAGTCCCCCACTTGTGTGAAAGCAAGGGAGCTAGCCCTGTGCTCAGCCAGTCGGGCTCATATCAAACCCTGACCACCTTTATTTATAGGAACGAACTGTGGAGTAGTTTAAATTATTGATCATGTGCTAAAATGATAGATTCCCCTCCCCCCACCATCTGCAAACTTGGCAAAGGCCAGCTCTGCCAGCCTGGGGGCGGAGGGGGCGGGGGAATAGGTCAGTGCCCAAAAGTGAGAAGAGAGGCCACGATTCTCCAGCCAGATTAGAATTCAGTCCACGTTTCCTTTTGCCTTTGAGAAAACCGAGCCAAGCTACCAAAGGTTTCCACTGAGCTCACTGCCATCTCCTGCCTCTCCCAGCAGGATGCGCTGGAGCGCTGGCTGCAGGGGAGCGATTGCAGTGGTGTGATGTCCCTGGCTATGGGGAGCTCACTGCTACTCCAGTCCCATCCTCTACCTATAGGAGGCGCTCTGGGAATGGTGTGGGACCCCTGGCTGCGAGCCATGCATGGCTAGTCCAGAGCCAGTCTCGAGAAGCAGGAGTCGCTAGCGGGGGAACCCCTGGTTGTGGGGGAGCTCCAGCTGCCCTTACCAGAACTGCCAAGTGCCTCAGTCACAGCGTTTTCCAGTGGGAGTCACTAGGGCCAAAGAGGATTGCTCGTGAAGTGAGCTGCGTGACCCACACTGGCCCTTTAGCCTCTTGTTTAAGCCAGAAAGCTGAGTGGAGGCCCTCTGGGGCAGGCAATGTCCCTGCCTCCGTGAGTCAGATAGTGTGATCCAGACCGGTGGCTCTGCATGCATGCCTTCCTGTGGGAGCTTTGCCTGCCCAGCCATCTCCACTGGAGGAGAGAGGAAATCCGCCCTGTACCGCCTCCTGGGAGCACTGGGGGGCTTTGCTATGGGATCTTCAAGGGACCCAGTGCCCAGAACATGTCCTCTACCATCCCAGCCTCTCGCACAGGCTCCTGGCGGTGCGGCAGCTGGTGCGGTAGAGACCCTGCACTGCGCGGTGATGCCTTCATTTTCATTTTCCTCGCTGAGGAAACTCATTCCCAGGGCATGAAATTCCTGCCTAGAATGACCAGGTTCCTCACCCCTCTGACAGAGGCACCTTGTTTACATGTGAGATGAGAGTGAGAGAGGTGAAGTGCTCGCCTGCCACTTGACCTTCTCTCATTAAACTGCCTCTTCCACTCTGCCTCACCACCCTCACCCCCTCCGCTCGATATTCCAGTGCTGAGAGCCAGGCAAGTACCTAGCTAGGCTAAATGAACTTCACACTTCGTTATTAACACTTGTACTGTATCCCCTGGGGGGACAGTGACCCTGTCCTTGCCCAGTGCCAAGAACTTATAATGGTTCCAGTGCAGATTTGTGCCAAAATCGTGTGTCTGTCTACAATCGTTATGCAGGGGTTTGTCTGTTTGTACTGTCAGTGACAAATGCAGCCTTAACACTCTCGTATGCGCAGGCGAAGAAGGAAAGCACAGGGAAGAGTCACTTTCCGGCTCTCTGCTCGCAAGCCAGTGAGGTTTTTTTGCATTTGCAACTTGAATAAAATAAGAGCCTCGCTTTAGAACCCACTGCTGGCTTTACAGATCCTGGTTCAATTCTGAAATCAACCCTTACATGGCGTGTGTGCTCACACCCTGATGCCTATAATATTGCATTTACGATCATGTTCCTGGTAGCCCACAGTGAACTCACTGTAGCAACTGCAGTCCCTATTGTACCAGGCTGCCTAGGCAGCGGTTACCGCGCTGGCAGCCGAGCCAGATGCTTCGTTTTCGTTCCTGCTAATATTTTAGAGTCCAAAGGTTTCTTTTCAAGCTGACTTGAGTAAAACGTGTTAATGTTGCGCTTGCAGCTGCAGGCTGGAGTGACTCTTG